GGGACAGGGGGACAGGACAGGCACATCAGGAACAAGGACAGAGGGACAGGGGGACAGGACAGGCACATCAGGAACAAGGACAGAGGGACAGAGGGACAGGGGGACAGGCCAGGCACATCAGGAACAAGGACAGAAGGACAGGGGGACAGGCCAGGCGAGGCAGGACAACGGGACAGAAGAACAGGCAAGTACAGGCAGCGTGGGGCAGGGCTGGCAGCTGCCACCCTCGGGCAGTAGAACTTTGTCAATAACTCATCCTGCTTTCAGCATCCAGAGGTGCCTCCAGCCTGCACGGCCACAGCCAGCAGTGAGGAAACAGCTGCTGCAAAATATGTCCGTTTAACACACAGAATGATGATTAACCAGCATAGTATTGAAATCCACCAAGTCTGAGCTCCCACCTTTTCCAGCAACCTACTGCTGCTTAATGTGGAAAATCCATTTATACTCTTGAAACAGGAACCAGACTAAATTTCTTGGGTTAACTGAAGGCAGCAAAACTTCAAATTTCCTCCTAATCCAACAGGGTGAATCACCCCYATTCCATGATTAATTCTGCTCCATTTGACATATAAGCCCACCCCTCAGGATGTTCCAGACCAGCAGCCGGCATTTGGCTGCATTAGCCCCCATTTATTAAAATCAAGCTCTCAATYTCTTTGCTGATACACCATTATGATCTATTTACAGGCCCTGATGCCAAGGGGTCACCCACAGCCCAAGTAACTGGAAAACCTTCCAGCAGAGGCACAACCACGGAGCTGTTATCCCAGGTGCATGCTGAACTTTTCCACATCCACCCTCTGCTCCTTTCACGGGGACTTCACGGACAAGGATGGGACATCCAGGCAACCGCTGGAGGTTGTTTTAATCCAATCCAGAACCACCCGCCCTCCCCCCCAAATCCCACCCATCACCATCACTCCCCTTACAAAAAGGTACGAGTGGGAACCCTTTACCTGCTTTCCCCACCAAATCACATCTGGGGCTACAGACTCCATTTAACCTTTCTGGTTTTAGGCCTTAATGATTTTATGGACTTTGTGCCATGAGATTATCTAAACCCAGATTGAAGGCATCTGCTCCTAAACCAGCCCTAACAGTGGTGGTGTGCATTTCTTTACTTTTTTGAGAAGGGYCAGTGGCACACATGAATTGTACCTCTACACAAGGGAGATGCACTACTAGGAACATGAAGTTTTCCTTATAATATACAGGTAAGTCGCCAAAAACACAAACAAAGCCGAAGCAAATTCAGTTTATTGAGTTGTACACTGTAGCCTGAGAGATCAACAGAGTAGGGCTGTATTTCATAGCCTAAACACACCAAGTGTGTCCCACCCATACCCTACAATACACCCACTTCCAGTATCAGTTTCTCTGTAATATCCCAGCCCCACCAGGTCGAATCGACAGGAACGTCATTTCCAAGCCTGGTCCACAGGAGAGCACATTCCTTTTTTTACTTGCACCTTACCCCCGCCCTTCCCCAGCACCCCCATTTTGAAGCACCCCAAAAGCAGTACCCTCTTGCCAGACCAGCCAATCCCAGGTCTGCCCTTGACTTACAAATTCCCCTTCAGCCAATTCCACATCCCAGATGGYACTTCCCACCCGTGCTCAGCTCCAGGCCCCTGCTCCAATGCTCCACAAAATCCAGGAGGGTCGTGCCAAGGGACCAGAAACACACATGGCCATTTTCTGTGTCCCCAGCACAAGCACGTGCTTTGCAAGACCACTAAATTCATGTGCCCCTGGATTCATCTGTGGCTACATTCTGATTATACACAATGCACTCACAGGACCTATTTGGGCAGACTCTTCAAAATACTCACCCTCTCCCAATAAAGGTGGATTTTTCTTTGTCATTTTGTCTCAGCAGTTTCTGCAATATTTTAGAAAAGGAAGKGTTTTTTTCGCTTTTTTTTTGTCACATTCCACAAATAGGGATGTAAGTTTAATAAACAAAGCTATTTATGTCCAGYGAAGTTATTTTCCTCTGTGAAGATTCAAGATCGGTTTTTTTTTCTCTTTAAATCTTAAAAGATTCAGCAATCTTTTTCATTTCCATCCACCCCAAACTAGACATAATCTTATTAAAAGCTAAGAAAGCACGATCTTAAATTTCAGGTACCACCACCTACACGGTCTGCTTTGGAGTTTTATAATTTTTAAGCTGATCTAACTTTTCCAGAAGCATCTTAGAAACAGTTCAAAGTTATTTTAAGTATAAGGTTTAATTTGAAGGAAAAGAGCAAAACTACACAGTATTGCATTTTAAACGCAGTTATTACCTTCGAATCTTGTGCTCCACACAAACTTTTTCAATTTCAGAACTGGAAGTAAAGGAAGGGTACGTTAGGGATTTGCACAGAGCTTCTAATTTTCAGTCTCTTGCTCCCAGCTCCGCATGTTCCTCGTCCCACCCCCAGGTGTGATCGAGTGTTTCCTGCATGGTTTGTCTCCTCTGTAACGGCCCAAGGGCTCAGAGAAGCAGTAGGAATATGCAGGCTGCAGGCTCGGGGCCCGGCTTTTTCTCCGACGGCGTGGAAAGGGATTGTACGTCCCGGGCCCGGGGGCCTGCGCTCCCGTGCGCCACACGGACAGAGCCGGGAGAGAGCGACCTCTCCGGATATCCACGTCGGACCCTCGTTTGACAAGGAATTCTCGTCACCTCCACCCCCGCGCGTTCCCGCTGCGCCAACAGCCGAGTGCTCCGCCACCGATACTTACGCTGGAGCGAGCTGGCCAAGCCGAGCTGAACAGGCTTTGGTGGYACCTGCAGAGAGAGGAACTGTCTGCGATGGGCGGCTGGAGCGAGCCCGCAGCGCCCAGCGCCACACACGGGCTGTTCTGGCGGCCGCACAGCCAACAGCGGCCAGCGCGGCGCTCTGCGGCCACTGGGACCTCACGTCGCGGCCACATAAAGGGTACAAAGGACAAAAAAGGTAAAAACAGAATCAGCCATACTTACAACGCCCACCTCGACCCAAGGAGAAAGAGGCCTGGCGCCCGCGCGCGGCGGAATTTATAGAGCGCGGGGCGGGGCGGGGCGGGGCTGAACTGCGCGTGCACGCCCTGCGCTAAGGGGCGGAGCCGGACTGTTCGGGCATGCGCACCAGGCCCGCGCCCGGAGAAAGGGGCGGTACCGAACTGTTGGGGCATGCGCACCAGGCCCGCGCCCGGAGAAAGGGGCGGTACCGAACTGTTGGGGCATGCGCGCCAGGCCCGCGCCCGGAGAAAGGGGCGGTGCCGAACTGTTCGGGCATGCGCACCAGGCCCGCGCCCGGAGAAAGGGGCGGTACCGAACTGTTCGGGCATGCGCGCCAGGCCCGCGCCCGGAGAAAGGGGCGGTACCGAACTGTTCGGGCATGCGCGCCAGGCCCGCGCCCGGAGAAAGGGGCGGTACC